TTAAAAAAAAAATGGTGTGGGAATGGGTCTGACAATGGTAGAAATTGATATATTCTAGAAAGTTTAATGAAAGCTTTGTGTATGGGACCCATACTTCCAATCTCAGTTCTGGAATATAGAACCAGATTTGATGCAGTGTTGGGGAAAACTGCACGATCCCCTCTTTATTTTGGAGGATGCATAGTTTTCCTTTCCATAATGTAATACAGAAGAATATTGGTACATATATGTCGCCTTATGAAACATAATAATAAAATCAGCACCTGTGAATCAAGTTAGCTGCTTTCACGACTTAAATAGACATCTTTTAAGGTTTCCTGTGCTTTTCTTCCCCTGATCAGAAGGCCTACCCTCTCTCTCAGAACTTTTCTGAAATTCCTATTGTCCTTCCCTTGTCGTGTTGTAGCCTCATCTTAGGTTATTATTCTCAGTGTTACCGTTTCATCTTAACCTTGGGCGAATGATGGTCCTCAAACTCAAATTTAGCTTATTATTTTGTAAGTTACTGTACTTAAGTGAGTGTCTGAGCAGAGTTGATTTAAGTGCTTAGGAAACTAAATGCTGGAATTAAATTTGGGCCCAGGCAATACAGAACTATGTATACAAAAGTCTTCGAAAAACCAGGTTTTACATTTTTTTTACCTCGTAGGTAACGTTGCAACATCCATATCTTACAGTAGTTCCTTTCTAGCAGTGATACTGTTTTCCCCCATACATTGATCAAATGGAAGAAAAAAATCACCTGTGAACAGCACTGTCTGACTTTTCTAGTTATAGTTAGTCATTTATACTTACATGTAATGGTAATTAATTAAAAATTTTCATATATTTTAAAGTCAAATTGCTTTTGGGGGTTAATTTTTTATGAAGTTAGTATTTCAGAGGATCATAAAGATTATAGCATCTTTTACACAGATTGGAGAACATGATTCCATAAACCTTATAGTAAATGTGTTATGTGAATATAAATGGTGGTAGTGGTTATGTGCCATGGAGTCGGTTCCAACTCATAGCGACCCTGTATAGGGTTTCCAAGGCTATAAATCTTTATGGGAGCAGAAAGCCTCATCTTTCTCCCACAGAGCAGCTGGTAGAGTCGACCTGCTGACATTGAGTTTAGCAGCTCAGCTCGTAAACCGCTACACTACCAAAGCTCCTTATGAATATAAATTAGTATATGTATATTTTTTAAAAAATAGCTGTTATATTGTTATTTATTAGAAAAATAACTGTAAGTCACTGTTATTGAATATAATGCATTGTGGATCAACAACCAATCATCTCAGGAGTATGTTTTAGCAGATAAGATTTTGAAGAAAGATACTCTCTTGAATTGAGGAAGTTGGAAACTATGGTCTTCAAATAGATATTTTTGCTCTTGAACACTTTAAAGAGGTCTTGTGCAGCATATTTACCTAATGCGGTATGTTGTTCTTGATTTGTGCTTCCATGAGTGTTGATAGTGGATCCAAGCAAAATGAAGTTGTTAATAACTTCAATCTTTTCTCCATTTGTCATGATGTTATTTATTGGTCCAGTTGTGAGGATCTTTGGTTTCTTTACATTGAGGTGCAATCTATACTGAAGACTATAGTCTTTGATCTTCAGCAGTAAGTATCTTACATCCTCTTTGCTTTCAGAAAGCAAGGTTGTTTTATCTGCATAGCTCAGGTTGTTACTGACAACTGTTAAACTTGGTCATTATCAGCAGGGCCTGGCTAAAGCTATATTCACAGCCAACTAGGTTTTGGGTCACAAGAGGGGTAAAAATATTTGATCATGAGCTGAAATGTGTTGTTGTGTACCGTCGAGTCAGTTTCGACTCATACAGGTTTTCCGAGGAGCAGCTGGCAGGTTTGAACTGCCGACCTTGTGATTAAATGTTTAGTGATTGTCTACAGCACTAGGCCAGGACTGCTGAAATATGGGAAAGATCAATATACTTAAGATCCTTGAATGATGATTTATTATTATTATTATTGTTATACATGTGGGATAAATTTGAAGAACTTGGTAGCATAAAAGATGTTGGAATATTCAGAAACTACAGTGAATGTGTTTTCATTCTGAGATACCTCAGAGTGATGCGGCCCACTTTATCACAGACTCAGAACTTTATTGCTGTCATAGTGCCAAACCTTTGAAACTTACTTCTTTTCCTGATGTCCTAGGCTATGTCCCCATAAACTCAAGACTGCTTAGGTACAAGTTTCTTCTAAGAATAGTTGAACTGCTAAATTTCACTTACAGAAATTATCAAACCAGTCTTTGATCAAAACTTTTTGCTACTGTAATTTGTCTAACATTCCCTCAACCATTTCTTTGTTCTTTATTGCATTAATAAACAATAATAGTAATATGTTTAAATCCCTCATGAGATTCTTTTTAAATTTTACTGCTTTGATTAGGATGGACGTTTAAAGCCAGGAGATCAACTTGTCTCAATAAACAAGGAATCCATGATTGGTGTATCATTTGAAGAAGCAAAAAGCATAATGACTAGAGCCACGCTGAGGTAACGATCCTGTCCATAAGATACAGAGTCACTTGCATGTCTCCTTAAAAATAATTATTTTAAATGTCTTAAATACTTTACACTCTGAAAGAAATTTTTTTGCTGATAATTTTAGGAACATTGCCTTAGAATTCAGTTATACTATAACAGCCCTATGCACAACAGAATGAAGCACTGCCTGGTCTTGTGCCCACCACTGTTATTCAAATTTAATCACCAACCACTAAAGCCAGTGTGCATGAAATAAAAGAATTCTACCAACTTCTTCAATCTAAAAGTGATCAAACATACAGTCAACATGTATTGATCATTACTGGTGATTGGAATGCAAAGGTTGGGAGCAAAGAGGAAGGATCAGTAATTGGAAAATATGGCCTGGTGGCAAAAATGATGCTGGATATCGCATGATAGAGTTCTGCAAAACCAATGATTTGTTCATTTCAAATACCTTCTTTAGACAGTATAAGAGACAATTATACACATGGACCTCACCAGATGGAATACACAAAAATCAAATTCACTACGTGTATGGAAAGAGACGATGGAAAAACTCCATATCATCAGTCAAAATGAGGACAGGGGCAGATTGTAGAACAGACCATCAGTTGCTCATATGCAAATTCAAACTAAAGCTGAAGAAAATGGAAACAAGTCCACGAGA